TTACCCAGTTTAGCCACGCGGACATGTATGGCTCGTTGACAGGCTGATCCCAGCCTATTTGGGACTACATAATTTTTGCAAGAGAAGTTTGGCAGTAAGACAGACTGGAGCAATTAGACCCAGAGGATCGAACAGAGAAGAAACTATAGATAGAATACCTCTCCTAGTCAGAGGCCTTTCCGGTGCATCAAAGTAAAACTTAAATACATCTTGTTTAAAATCCCATTCTACACCTAGGGTTCGATGAGTAGTGTCGTAATCGTTGACATTTCTATCAAGGACTGTTCTTTACATACATCAGGCAAGATGGTCCTTACCTCCTCCGAGTTGGTAACCCATTTCTTTAGTTTGAAACCTCCTCTACATAATAATTCACTTATCTGCTTAACGAAACTCTTTGCTTGATCACAAGTGGGAAAAGATACCAAGCAATCATCAACATAGAAATTATTCTTAACAGCATCTACGACATAACCATCATAACCGTCAGAGAATATTTGGGCCGTCTTATTCAAGGCAAAGTTCGCGCAAAACGGCGATGATATGGCACCAAATGGATGAGATGTCATTTGAAACTCGGATGGTTCTCGACATGTCTCCTCCTGCCACCACAGAAATCTTAAAGCTCCTCGATCAGACTCAGGGACCTTCACTTGCATGAACATTTCTTCAACATCCGCAGAGATTGCGACTGCTTCTTTGCGAAAACGCAATAATATACACACTAACTCAGCAGTTGTGTCGGGTCCTTGATAAATCATATCATTTAGAGAAACGCCTGCAAACTTGGCGGCACAGTCAAGGACCACTCTCAGTTTTTCTGGCTTTTTCGGGTTTATAACTGCATGGTGAGGTAAGTACCACCGGGGGCGATAACTAGGTTGCAATTGTATTTCAGGGATCTTCTCCGCATAGCCCTTAATAAAATTACTTTCAATACCTTTTGTATACTTGATATACAGAATGTCATCTTTCAACAATCTACGCTTCAAACTCTGTAGTCTACTGCTTGCCACTTCATAATTCCCCCTTTCATATTTGGGTTCACTTTCCATGGTATAGGAACTACAAAATGACCATTTTCGAAGCGTGTGCCCCTTCCACAATCCTTATAGCCGCCTTATCTTCTAGTGATACTGATTTATCATTTGAATAAACATCAGAAAACTCTACATCATAAAGTTTACGTATTTCGTTCTCCAAAGTCTGTAATTTACTGGTATGATTAACAACTCTTTTCCTATATTCCGAATATGACGCAGGTCCGAAAACCGTCCACCCAGCAACGTTTTCACAGCGTACGGGTTCTTCCTTCCACCCAACTGTTGGTCTAACACCCAATGTGCTTCTGGTACGTCGCAACCAATCAACAGTGAAACTTCTTCAGAGTCTAGGCTATCTATTGGCACATCAATTAGATGCGGCCACTTAACTAGGTTGTTCATTGCTGACTTTGTTGGCTTATGACCTGGTATACTTGCTACAATCAGAGCTCCTTCAATAGTAACATGTTCAGATCGATCTAAAGAATATACCTCAAAAGGCGCACTCGTGACCTTCATTGTTCTATTACCGCCCACAGTCTCAACTACCACTGATGCTTGGTCTTCGTTCAGCCCGAGAGACCTCAAACAGTTTGATTTTATCAGTGTCACATCAGAACCGTTGTCCAACAGAGCATAACCCACAATCTCGGCTTTTCGCGATTTCAACCGTACAGGAATCATGCCTAAACACACTTGACTGATTAGTGATTTAGTGTATCCGCAACAATTCGAGATACCAGGTTTATCATTTTCGCTGTGCAACAAAGAATGGTGTTTCTTTTCACAACCATTAACGTTACAACGCTTTGTCAGCTTACATTCATTAACTTATGTCCTTGTCTAAGACAGACAAAACAGATACCCTTGCTTTTAGCGTGAGACCATCGGTCTTGAACTGTAAGCGCTAAGAACTGTGGACATTTATCAATAGCATGGTCGTAGGAACACATACTGCATTTAGTTTTCGTTGTCGAACTATTCCCTTGCTCTGATTGCACGTGACAGTTCGTCTTTACGTTATGTCCTTTTCTTGAACGATTTGCTAACCGTCCAAATCTACTACAAGCCACTCTCGCACACGATGCGATAAACTGAGTGAGCTCGTCAAAGGTCGAATCTCTGTTATCTTCAGTCAATTCATCCACCCAGTCCGCCCACTGGGCTTGCAAAGGTTGCATCAAGAGTCTTACTATTCTCTCTAAAGTAATTGGAGAATTTAAGTCGGCCGTATACTTCATCTGTTTCGAAACCATAGAACAATTTTCCATCCTTATAGCTAGATTTGTCAGTTGCTCAGGAGCACTGTAATCAACATTTGTAGTTTTGAATAAGTCCTCTAAAGTTTCCCTAGCGATTACATGCGCCTGTCCGAACAACCGTTTTAGAATTTCTTCGGCCTTCTTGTAACCAGAAGAGACTTCCAACATAACACAACCCTCAATGGCTGTTTTCGCTTTAACCTTACAATAATGTATCAAATAAAGCAAGCGTTGACCATCATCCTTGAACCTTGATTCTACATAGGTCTCAAACTCCTTTAAAAACTTCCAATAACCTCTAGGTTGACCGTCGAAATAACATAACTCAACCTTTGGTAAACCTGGACATACGAAGGGCGCCGAGGCATCGCTCTTTTCGCTTGCTTCACGTCCAAACTAAGGTTTTCTATGCCATCTGCCATTATATCACAACTAGATTTGTAGCATTATGGTCTAATATGATATTAATACTGCTCTAATAATAGACCTAATCCTAAATTGGTATATTTGTCATGATATAACTGCCTAATCGATAAGATCTTACGTGGAAGTCACACCATCGACTACACCAACTCACTGTATCGTATCAATTACCAATACATGATGTAGAACAAGGTTAGGCTAGAGAAAGAACAATATATTTGATATGAATAGAAGATATAAGGTAACATTCGGCAGAGACCACGCCTGCATGGCCGAGCCATGCCACTCGATCAAACCCAGCCCATTCAATTCATTCTTCGCGCCTTCTCCATTGTTAGGTATTTCTCCGTGTCGAATATTGAATATCTATTTTCCGAGTTGTCTCATGTTCAGCTTTGAGGATTGTGCGGTTATGGTCCAATGCCACTACAGGTTCACTATAATTACAATCGTCCCTATTAGAAAATGAACCATGACACATAGAAGCATCATAAGGCACTTGCCTTGATTGAAGGGATTCATCCTTTTGTTCATCTCTTTTGGCATACACGAGCCTTGGACTTAATTTCCTTCGACGATTGTTTGGCATCGCAAGCGAACGACCGAATATTTCCAGAGACAATGATTGGAATCAGCGAAACGAAAGCCAAACGATTTCGACCAAATTATTTGTTTAGAACTGTGAGATCCAAACTACGGTTTGGAGTGAAGGACAGCTGTCTGGATGAGTTAGATACGCGCCCTCGCCCGATTGAAACCAAAACAAAGTAATTGCGTAAGATGACGGTTCTATAATTTATCATAAATTTAAGTGTAAATTATTACCTAAACAAATATAACCACTCAGCTATCCAACAAATAATTGTTCAATTGATCAAATCTAAACTACAATAAATAAGAAAGTTGATGCAAGATGCAAGAAAATTACCAATCACCACAAATAACTGTTATTCTATCCTGTCTGGATAGATCACGTACAGATTCGTTCAAAAGGTAATAATTGGTCGCTCTATAACACAGAGTGTTTTCAATTCTGGAAGAGTGCTTCAATTCACAACCAAAATGCACAATTCCAGTCAACACAGGTCAAGCAATCAAAAGCAGGGACAAACCCAATTGGCTGCCGCTCAGACTTAATATAAAGTAAAACAACATAAGTGCAGTTCGGGAAGAAACACGGGGAATTAGTGAAGGTGTAGTAAAAACGAAAACTATAATAAATACAAATATTAACAGTTCAAATGTAGTCCAAAAGTTAACAATGTACAACTAAGAGGATCAATAGGAACAAGGTGCAAGTATATACATGGAGGGATTTTCACAAACACACAAAGCATTCAAAATGGATTATACAATGGTGACGCCGAAAGGTATTCTTGGCTAGTTCATCAGTAGAACTTTCTATTCAATCTTCGACAGTTTTATTTGATATTAGAGTGTGGAAATATCATGTTTCTTCCCTCACTCCAAATGGGTAAGAATACGCTGGGACGTATCGAAAGGCGTACTACGAATTCAGTTCTGATTCTCAAATTCAAACCATAGGAAGAACGCATCAAATCGCTGAATCTCCACCCAGTAGATCGTAGGTGCCCTAAAAATGTCCTAATGACGTGAGCTGAAAGGCGAGAGGGGAAAGAGGTTCAATCGAAAATACTAATATAGTATCACATTATGTAAACGTTAGAATTCAAAAAGGATATCGAATGCCCCAATTAGGAAGAAACTCACAGTCTACGCATTGGTGTACCAGATCATGTCGGGTTCACCCTTGAATTTGCTAGAATTATTCGGGGTTTGACAACGCCTTTACCTGTAACAGGTTTATATTGGAAGAATGCCAACCCGCTCAGATCAGAAGACAGATATGAGGGAGTTCGAACTTATATTTTAGAGGCTACTGGTATGCCGAGGAATGTTTGGTTTAAGCTGGCTAATAGTTGAAAGGGACGTGTAGCACGACATATCCACTGGTGACTTGGGGCGGATGCGTGAACGAGAGCCTTCAGCTAAGTGAGTCCATTCAAACTAGTGATGTCAGCATCAAATTTCGAAGGCTCACAGAGCTACTGATTTCGGAGATTTATTTACCGCTGCCAGTACCAAATTGTATAAGTTCATGAATGATTTAATTTATTTCGTGTTTTTGCTGTTAGGAACATCAACACTTTCTATAGAAGTGAGCTTTGACCGTTGTTATGCAGAGTTATTGTGGTCATAGACATGTGAATTTAACTCATTCTGCTGATACAAGTGTGAGTTGTTTAAATGACTAGCATTTAAATTGTATTGAGTGAAGCGGTATGTTTATCTCTGGTTGTTGTATGTTATTATTCCATTTTCATTGAGCCATCGACTCACGCTTTCTCGTATCTTTTCTATTCCAGATTCTTATATGGTGCTGTCCATAATATCCAACACATAACATACTTCCAAGCTGGACGTAAACTTATCGAAGGCTCAAGGTTTGTTTGGTGCTTATGTCACTGGTTAATGTACATTTCGACTTACTTTATCATTACGGTTTGTTGGTTTCATAATTGTTGTCGTTTAGTTGTAACGGATAGGATATAGATCTCACCCACTCAGTGTCATGTGATCCACTCAGTAGTTTCCGTCTACTTGTAGTAGTAATAGCTATTACTATTATTCATTTATGAACAGGACTAAACAGTGTCAACTGAAAAGTGACAGTAAATAATCAAGCTGAAAGGAAAAAGGGATAGATAATTGTAAGCGAGTGTACCGTCTCGATTTTTGGGATTGTTTTACTCACGCCCATTGACTCATTGATTTGAATAACTATCGTCATAAGACCAAGCTTCCGTGAAAGACCTCGCTTTTCTCTTGTATTGTTAGCTAACTGAGAAGCGTGTAATTGCTCGTCAAAATTCACTGGTTAAGGTACACCGTACTATTAAACTTAAAAGATTTATCAGCCGCTGTGGAAACTACCTGGTCACAAAACAGTAATAAAAAGCTGTAAAATTGCCATAGATCGATGCTTTCGTTATAACAACCACCCCTTTAGATCTTAAGTTCATTATTGCAATGGATGTGGCTTAAGTTCACACAATGGGAGCTTGGCTAGTGTTGTTAGCTACGAACTCAAACTTGTAGCCAAGTGACACCAGCTATAGTGCATAGAAGTTAGGGTTAAGTAGCTGGAGTTAGACTAGTTATTTGTCAGGGTTATAAAGTGACCCACCTACTCAACCATTTTTGCAACCTTTTTTGATTTCAGCAATTTGTATTCTCTTGAACCATATCTCCGATACTTGATCTCTATTCTTACGAATACTTTTACTACATTTACTAATCTGGGGATTGCCCTGACAATCGTCGCGCTTGGTAACTGGGGTATGACAACTTTGACTTGTGCATGTGTGCCATGTTCTACGTTGTGTGTGACTAACTGGCTGAAGCTTAGTACATTTGCGTAAATCACACGAGCTTCAATCATATGGTGGCATTCACGGTAGTTAGAATTTGTCTGCAGAAATTGATCACAATACGGTGGTTCTTATCACACGAACTTCCATACGTATCGTGTTTGTAGTTTACTTCGTTATGCCACATGCAGTTGTATTGCTATAAGTTCCCTATAATCGTGTGTTATATAACCTAAGCAAATTATTTATCCAAAAATCATCTTGGTTCTATTTAATTTCAATCACTTGCAGATGTCATCGGATGAAATGTTCTCGTTTCCAGTTACTGTAACGTTCGCCATTTGTATATCTATGATTTAGATACTTGATGGTCCCGATGGTGAGGAAAATTTCGAGATGGCGCGTGCTCGTATTTGGCAGCTAAGTTGCAAGTGTGGTTGGAATTTCGACCGACTTGTTGCTGATTTAACTCCATCTAGTCAGTGCGAGCTAACTTTTGAGATGATTCATATGGTGTCGTACGTTAAAAAAGGTTAGATTATTCTGATTTTTCCATTCGTTCAATCAGTTGCTCCGCCTGGAACGCTAAGTGTTTTTCCGTCACCATTTCAAAGTGCCGAGTCATGGATCAGGGACAGATGGATTTTTCGAGAGGTATATTTGATAGCTAACTCACTTGTGCTCAGAACAACTCAGCTAAATCTATGGAACATACTTTACCACTTAAAAAGGGATTAAGGTTAGCACATGGTTGTTTGTCATATTTTGCTTCATTCTCTAGAGATTTGGACCACATATTTACATTTTACTGTCGCAAATATCGTAGCTTATTTTGAGGGCAACTATGTATGGAAGTAGTTGCACATTCACGAAAAAAACATTTGGGATTCCAACGAAAGAGGAAGTTGTGCCAAAAATTTTATGTAGGTTGTCTGGTTCGAACCACTTATGTCACAGGACATTTCCGTATTTTGAGCACTATTTTTTCTCGCTGAAGAATTTCAAATAGAAAATTTTATTTACCAGTGCCACATCAGTTCATATTATATGGTTTTTAAAGCCTATGAGTATTTTGCATGAAATCTGATCCGTACACTGTCAAGTAGGTTATGTTGGGTGTCAGTTCATGATTTCGAGGTTCACCACAATTTAGGCTTGATATTTTCACGAAGCGAATTGTGGGTTCAAAACCGCGTTGTAACTCTGACCTTTTACAGGTAGGCTGAAATCACGATGAGGGCAAAGATGGGTGAGATTGACATAGGCCGCTCTGGCTCTCATTATGTGTGAACTGGTCACATCAGTCACGCCAACATTAGCACTTACGCACCTACCCAAATGTAAGAACTTCTTGACTACTATCTGCTCACTACCGAAAGTAAGTGCAGGTTCAGTGTCCTGCTAGTCTTGTAAAAGTACTTCGTATTCTGAATGTGCAAACTATATGTTATACCTACGGACACTAATTGCCAACTTTTTAGGTGTGAATTGCATGGCTTAGGTATCATCACATAGTAAGACAATATCATCTGCACATTCGAGGTCGAAAAGCATTTATCCGAGTGACATCCACATCACTATTATCTATATCCATCAGAGCTGCTTCCCAACGTCGTCGGTAGGAAAGTTGATGAGGAATGGTGGGATTAGGTAACCCTGCTTAACTCCACGGCTGGTACAGCAGATTGGAGAGAGGTGGTTGTTTCCTCTCTTTGTCTGAACCTTCAGGATGTTAATTATGTATCGCATACACTATCAGTGTCCAGTTATATCAAATTTTTTGTTTAGCACGTAAAAAATAAATGAGCTAATGTGAGCTACAAGAACCATTTTATTATTTAGTCTATTTCTTGTTTAAATTAGACGTTTTTCATCACCTATCACATGTTGTATTTGTTTGTTGTTCAGAACCGCTGATCCTGTATCTCCCTCAAACCGTGCCTTTAATAATGAAGAACTGAAGAATAAGAAAGTAATGAAAGTTGACCAGGATTCGACTATGACAGTGTCGATACCTACCGTACACAGAGCCAATCGTTCACTCCCTGGATTTCAAACTATTTTACAATGTGGGAAGACACTTGACGATGATACTTTATTGGGGAAGACTGTAAGTAATTCTCGATTTCCATGCATAATTATGAGTATGTTACATGCTTCTGCCAATTGTAAATGGTTCACTGAAAGGCATCGATTATATAACCTTTCATTGTGTTCGTAATTGTGCATGTAGTAACTAGTCAAATATATTTGTAAAGGAAATAATGTAAGGATTAATCTACGGGTCCGTCTATTTAACTACACCGCGACTTTTGTAAGAAAATGAGGTGGATTAATCGACACTGACCATGGAAGACAGAAAAATCTGACTGATATTGCCGGGGCACTAGATCAGCTGAATTGTTCGTCAAAGAATTCTGTTTGTCGTCCCATCGGCCACCCAAACGACTCTCCTCTGTGCCTAGACGTCCGACTTAGGCATCCAAGTCTCCGGCTAGCACTACAATATCTGTTGAAGACACTTTTTGTAGATCACTTACCAGGTAGTAGAACTCATCCTTAATTGCATCTGGTCTGCTGTTTGTCCGACCAAATTTCTACCACAGGTGACCTGCCATATGAATTGATAAATAAAGGAATATACAAAATGGGGATAAAAGGGAATATACAAGTGATGCGATGTAAAATATGAAGGGATGTTACCGAATAGTTGTAAGTACAATTTATGAGGGTGCAAATAGAAGTGAGATTGATTATTTAGTTCTGACCATCATTTGATTTATGTGTGGTCTGAAGTACTGCCTGAATGCCTAAACCAAATCAAGTGATTTTATTAGGACGATACTACCTAACCTTCAACTTAGAGGTCTGACCTACATGGCAGTGGGTGACGTTAAGAGATGACGTTCCATGGTAGCCGGTGACCAAGAATGGGTTCAGACTCCGTTTCTTCCTCATTTCATGAAGTTTGTTTAAAAATCCATGTGACATGTCATAAAAACTTGAATTCAACCATCTGTTGCGACCTTATACATTTGATAATCTATATTGACGATACTCGTCTATCATTCAATACAAACACGTTAAACATTGAACAGTGCAACTCCAGGTTCTACGTTGCGTAGTTGAAATTTTTGATTCGTAATTACGTCAAGTTGGCACTGATTTACTCAAATTACACTGAAACGAAAGTGTTCTAACGTTACAGAAACCTCATTCATTAAATGCGCACTCACCTTACATGACTCAAAATGTAAGTCATTATTTTGGCTTATTGTTTAGGTCTTTTTTCCTCCATCCGTCTTTTAACAAGTCGACTATTTACGGCTCATGACTAAAAGACATTTGATAAAAAATGCCCTGGTACGGCCGAGAGTGGGGAGAGTCCGCTCTCCCTCCCAAAATGCTCTCATATGGCCACGCGTACATAGCCTCTGCTAGGGAAGTCCTACTCACTGCCTTCTCTTGGCAGGGGTGTTGTTTACGAAAAGCGAATGTTCGGCTCTTTAACCGGGTTGGTGGACATAAAGAGTCCACCTAGGGGACTTGGAAAACCCTGATTCCAAACCAATGGTGCACATGAGCTCCAGTATCCTGAGGGAACAAATGGCGTTCGAATCAATTGTTGGTCACCGGTCACCATGGGACTGCATCTCCTCACGATGTTCCACTGTCTTGTGGGTCAGACCTTTAGGCCAAAGGCTCGGGGTGTGACCCTCTAAGAAAACCAAATGCTTCGGTTTGGGCACCCGGGCAGTATCTCAGCCCTCACACTTATCAAATGAGATTTGTGTGGCGCATATGTATTTGGTTCTTTTTTGTACCACTATTTATATGTTCAAATAAATAAATATGGCATAGCATAAGGAAAGTCTAGTTCTTCGTGATCTCTTTATTTCATACACGTATTTCCCTTTATCATTTTGAAAAGAACAAAAACAAAGATTCTAGCAGAATAACATGAATTCATTTTATTTCGTAGGTTCTCGTTAGCTGCTTACAACCTGTGGTATTTAAGAAGATAATTACATAATGGGTTTAAATTGCTTACATGAGAGGCTTTATATTAAAAAAATATTCGTAAAGTATGACTTAAGTGTAAATGAAATTAATAGGCTGAATATTGTAAATATATACCTAATGTGAAAGAATATTCTAGAGCAGTTTAACCTACGAAATAAAATGAATTCATGTTATTCTGCTAGAATCTTTGTTCTTGATCTCTTTATTGTCATCTTGAGTGATGTTAGTTTCGTTCTTATTAGCTTCGGTAACTTTACCTGACTGACTAATTATATGATGGTTATGTAGCAAAAGCATGTTCGGGCACTTTTGAAGTGTTCGAATTCGCTGTGGCTTGTACATATGTGAAATAACAAAAGGTAGTTGTTTGTTTTAATTTTTTCCGTGTTAATTTTGTTTATCGAATTGACATCGGTTGTTTCTCATCTTATTTTAGGACACAGAAACGTCTTATGAATATCCTAGCTTATCGCTAATTCATACGTCGAATTCACAGCAAGAAACCTTGCATTATCCGTCTGACTCACCTCCGTATATGCTTGTCCAGAGATCAAGAGAATCACTGGAGAAGAATTATAAATCGTCTTCAAAACAGATTTGTACTAGAGGTCCTCTTAAAAGTGATAGTGGCTCCAAACGAAATAATAGTGGACATTTTCTTATGGATAGTGAAAAAAGCCGAAACCTGGTAACAACGTTTATTATGTCAGAAACTTTATGGTGTATAAACTTTATATGCTTTATGTTCTAACAATTTGATATATGGTTGTAAAAGAGGTGATTTAATCTACAAATAATCACATTGGTTTATGTTGGCGTATTTGGATTAATTTTATTGGACAAGCTCCTCGACTCTCCATGAGGTATAAATTTTGTAGTGGCTCCGTACACGCGTACGTGAATTTATTAGTATGGATAATAGTAATCAGACAGGATGTTTCAAATTAATTATTTTAATCCTGCTTATAATTCTGTACTTAGTCTCGGAATTAATTGTGATCTGACTGTTTATGTTTATGAGCCCTTCCACTGTGTGGGCAACCGGGAATTGATAACCGCCTTCATACCTCTTACAGCACTCAAAACCACTGTATTCATAATCAACCTCCTCTTCAATTCCCATTATTCCTCCTACGTCGACTTTCAACGCTAAACTTCTTTTTTCGGCTTCCCCCTCAAGTGTCACCATAGCCAACGATTCTAGTGCGCGAAACGCTGTCCCAGGTCTACTGAAACCTCGCTCCAAACTACACATTGGGGCCTTCAACGTACGCACACTATGTCAAATCGGTCAGCAGGCTTCCTTGGCTAGGACCCTAGAATCTCGTACCATTGATGTATGCTGTCTCTGAAACACACATACAGGATCCCAGTGTGGTCATTCACTTGACCTCAGCAATAGCCGGAATCCACGCTACACACAGTAATTTCCTCTCACTGTTTGTTTACCGATATGCACTCCTGAAACATGGTTATCCTCAACTCAACTTCTCTACTAAACATCAAAATTTCTCTTTGATTATACTGATAGAGTGGGGGAGGACGTATGTCAAACTTGCAATCACATATTTCATTGGAGTCGAATAAGTGGCATAAATCAGCGAGCCTCACTCAAGAAATCGTAATAATCTTGAAACTTTGGAGTTTACCGTTTACTACTAAAATACTTTATGAAAGCATTGAAGATGATCCGATCACAACACGGAGTAAATCGAAGAAGTCATCGATTATTGATTAATATTTTTGGTAAAGTTGGATTGGTTTTTATTGCCTAAAACTGTGTGAAATCCCTGAATAATATGCTTTCCGAAGTGGTAGAAATCGATGGTTTGAGACCCTAGATATATACGGAATTCATCAATGACAAACGGATTTCTTTTACATTATTCACTAAATCTTGAATGTGTAATTCAGTATACTTAAATTCGCTTCTTGCTTTATCATCATTCGTTATTTTTTCATTCCTTCTGAATTATTTTTAGAAATCTAGTACTTTTATGAATTAGCCTAATCGAAACCTCGAATTATTGTATCTATTTATTGGTAGTTTTCAGTAAAATTCACAATTATTTTCAACGCAATATTTGTTTGTTCCCAGTCAGTAGCAATATCGTTTTTTTATCCCTCATTGGTTATTTGAGATTGTAACTTCAAGTCTCTTGTTGCTGATTAGTGAAATCTAAATGAGATCAATTTCATTTCTTATTCAAATTCATTGCACATTATCTTACTGAACGTTTCATTCATGAAAAACGATTCCAGCTTATATTTAGTGCACGTTCAGCAATTAAGAATAATTTCTAAGTCATATTTTAAGTAATAATAATAATAATATCACTCCTTGATTTTGTATAGACTTGTCTGCAGACTGATATGCATTTCTAGTATACAAGGGCTAGTAATATCGATTCTGCTTAAAACTAGATGTATGGAATTCGTGTTCACGATTCACTGTTTGAGTGTTCAACCATGCATTTCGTTCAGTGTAAATATGCGTTATAGCTTGTGGCCTATGTGCCCTGTTAATGTATAAGGTAACGATACCGCCAATTAGAGAGCAGTGAATTATCGATCGACCAATGACACGTAAAACCCGTACGAGCAGCCTAGAGTCCTGATTGTTCCTGCTTCCTGCCTGACCCAGCCAGTTAAGTCCAGAACACCAATCTGAGCCTCTGCGATATGCATCATTATATTTCAAACATACTGAGTTTATATACTGATCAAACAAACCACAACGGACCATAAAATAGAAAACAACATTTGTACAAGATTTGGCCAAAAGTGGCTGTGAATGTGGGAGGCAGTGATTAATAGAAAGGGCATAATTCAAGAATGGTAAAACGTATAATAATAGTTCATAGGTTAAAATAAAGCTTATAATAAGAGGAATATGAATATGAATAGTTTATCTGTTTAACAGTTATACGTTCAAAATATACGTTTAGTATTAGTCGATAAATAGATCCCAAAAGTTACTATTCATTCTGCTTATCGTGACATAACAATAAGAAAAGTGATTTCTTAAGGTGGTGTCTATTATTATTTAAGATTTCTATGGTTTACTGTCTAATATTTCCTTTGATTTGACTAGACATTAATTCTCAAATTCTTATTCTTTCTTAGATAAACTCAGAAAACACCGATATCGGTCAGTCGAAATCAAATATGCTGAATATATTTTATGATCCGTTGGGATTAGAAACAACTAATTGTGATGACAGTGGTTATCCGGTAGTTGACAGTATTAAAAAAATGTCTAATCCTTCACATAGTTTTCATCCATCTGATGGCAAACATAATCTGCTTGAATCCAAAGACAATGATCTAAATGTTATTAGCACAAAAATGAATGTTTGTATGGATGATACGTTTTTATTGGAATTTTTAGACAGAAATTTGACTGGAACTGATTCAAAAACTAATGTCGATTTCGCCGAACGATGTGGTTTAAATTCTCCAACAGCTTTTGTCGAAGATATGATTAAAAAAGCACAGAAGACTTTAAATCATCAGTATAAATGCTAACAGTTTTTTAATTAACTTTCCATTCCGTTTTTTCTGCATTAATCTCAACTGCATTGATATACCATAGAACAGTCCGACGTTTTACTGCGGGTGTTTCGAATTTTGATTTGTCTTAGTTGTAATCTAGCATATCTATATCTATCCTTAATTCGAGTTACGACATCCATTTTGATAACTGTATATTTTAATGAGAGGTTGAATGTTGTTAGAACCATGTGATACATAAATAGGATTTATCTAAATTATAAATTAAAATGTTAAGAAATTTATGTTCTGGTGTACTAATGTCGTGTTTAATTGCTCTTATGGCAACCTAATTTGGTTCAAACTCCAGTCTGATAACTCATAAAGATACTCGTGATATATGACCACAATGTCTTAGCTTTAAAATTTATGCGGTAAAGATACTCATCAGGAATTCGTAAAAAAGTACTTGGATGCTACTGTATTCGTTGTCGTCAATTCACTAACCGAATCGCGCTTACTTATTTCTTCTATTCTCTATTCTGAAGTCTGAAATATCTTGTCTTGTCTGCAAATTGAATGTCATTTATGTATTCTTAGGTACGTTTTTATGTACGCTTCGCAGTGTAGTTGCGTGAATTAATTCATGTGCATATAAACCAGAGATTTACTGAAATGTAAAATCGAACTCATTTTGATCATTTTTGAGTGAACCCGATTTACATTTAATAATGTTTCTCACTTTCCGTTTTCTACATTTTTGTTTATGTTTTACAAAATCTATTTTTAACGCTTGTGTGAATCTTTCGATAACTTTAAGAATATGTATTTTTAAGTAGTGTAGATTGTAAGTTAGTGAATTCTACTAAATGGAAAGCTGAAAATTTGAATTAAGAACATGCGATGATTAGGCTAACTAAAGTTTATTTGATTTAAATATATTGACTCTTGTGCTGGTATAAAGTTTTGTTATCGATAAGTAGGTATTTCACAGGAATAATGAATAGAACCATAAAATAAAACTAAATGTGAGAATTGTGTATTTTAAAGATTTGTTTAAGAAAGTGCAAAAAAACCACTCAAATGTTGTAGCATCCCAAAATATGTTTAGGGTGTCGAATATGTAATTCATAATGGGTTTACCATGCATCGCATTTTGTAACAGGATTCATTGGTGAACCAACTGGACAACCATATGCACGTGCGAATCTTCTACTATTGACCAACGCCCCGATCACTCTTTCAAGGTAGAGAAAACAATTATTTCGTTAGGTTGTAGAGCTGTAAACTAAATACACAGATACTGTAAAGTTTGCTAACTGAAACTACTGTTTTCTGATAAAGATTGTGAAAGATTAATCAGATTCAAGGTAAAGTAGGCGACTTTCAGTGCAGTTCTAGACCATCAGAATTCATTACTTTTTGAGGTTTTATAGCCGTTAGTATTATCTGACAAATAACAGTTATATGGTATTCAAGCATAATAGTGTTCATTCTCGTTACTGAATACTTGTAATTCTTCGTTACATACTGCAACATCTGCTATGAAAACTTTAGTTTGTGTCATAAATTTTAGTATAACATATGTAATTTAGATCGTTATAAATTCTTACCTAAACTTTTCCAAGACATGAGGTATAACTACTGCACTTTGTATAAGTATTTTCTCACCGTGATGTCCACACATAGTCTTGAAAATGAGATAATGAAAACAGTTGGAAAGTACATTACTAGTTGTTTGGTGATAAAACAAGACATGATTATATTTAGGCTGACATTGCACTTATTATACATTACTTAAAGTATACATCACTCCGCCTGGAGCCCATCTTGGGCTACTGCCGATCTCAAGCCCGGAAAAAAGAAGAGAGTTGGGCATGAGGTTAGCGGCACAATCACGTAAAAATCTAACTCGCTAAAAAAACGCTAACCAGAAAAAACAATTCAAATCATTTAAACTCTGCCCTGGGAGTACGAAGGTCTTCATTTAGAAGAGTTATGACACCTCATGGTGAAAGACGAGTTCCTTCGGAACTTACGAATTTGATGGCCCTTCTAACAACCAGAGCAACCACTAACTTAGGTCCATGGAATATTCGTACAATGTGGGAGACCGGAAATGAAAAGGTACAACCTGGAAGTGCTTCGAATCAGTGAAACACATTGGACGGAGGTTGGACAACAAAGACCAACTTCAGGAGCACTGCTTTTATACTCCGACCATGAAGAAGAGAATGCTCCACACAGACAAGGAGTTGCACTGATGCTATTCATGCAAGCACGAAAGGTACTTATAGGATAGGAATCTCACGGACCAATGATCATCAAAGCCTCCTTCAAGACAATGAATTTCATGCAATGCTATGCGCCTATCAACGACTACAATGATGTTAAAGATCAGTTCAGCGATAGGCTGTAGTCCATCGTGGAGAAATGCACAACAAAGGACTTGGCCATTCTGATGGGAGACCGAAATGCCAAGGTTCGGATGGACAATACTGGACATGAAGACATCATCGAACAACATGAACTGGGAGAGAGGAACGAAACCCATGTGCCTTCAGTAAACTGGTCATAGGTGGCACCATATCCCCACATAAACGCATACACAAAGCCACATGACCTTCACCGGATCACACTACACAGAACCGAATCGATCATACCTACATCGACAAAAAGTTCAGGAGAACGAATGAGGATGTGAAAACCAGGATAGGAGCTGATATAGCCTCAGATAATCACTTGCTGGTCAACAAGTCGAAACCGAAACTCCAGAAGCACTGGACAACATCAGTAATTTTTAATACGCCCTTTCCTCGAGATACGGACAAACCGAACAAATTCAAGGTAGCCCACAGCAATGGGTTCTAGGTCTTTCATGATCTACTCAAACAACACCATAGTCAGAATTTTCAATACACATATCAAGACAGTTCTGCTGTATGGGGCGGGAACTTGGAGAACTACGAATGCCATCATCCAGAAGATACAAATGTTTATTAACAGTTGTCTAGGCAAAATGCTTCGGATCTGTTGGTCAGATATTATCAGCAACAATCTACAGTGGGAGAGAACAAACCAGATTCAAGCAGAGAAAGAAATCAGGAAGAAGCGCTGGAAGTAGATAGGGTGCACATTGAGGAAAGCAACCCAGTACGTCACGAGGCAAGCCCTCATATGGAATCCTCAAGGCCAAAGGAGAAGAGGAAGACCAAGGAACACATCAGGCTGAGAAATGGAGACAGACATGAAAAGACTAAACAACAATTGGATAGAATTAGAAACGAAGGTGCAGGACCGAGTGGATATGAGAATGCTGATAGGCAGCCTATTAGTTTGTGTGAACTGATAGTTTTCATTTTGATGATATATTTTATTGTCTTAGTTTTAAACTTCACTACTTTTTCAGCTCCTTCAGATAATGTGAAAATATTATTGAGTTAACAGTAAATTCGAATAATAATTTTCGGTTGAATTTCAGGAATAATGACATGGGTGATATGATGATTTTTATGAAAGTGTTGACGTATACAACATTCACATCCAAGTTCAAGGGGAACAAAGAATGTAGGATGAGTGTTCTAGATAAAGACGATAAATACCATTGAATATAACATTGAGAAATGTGCCATAGGTATTCTTATGAATAACAGCAATTCGAATCTTTGACTTACTTGTGCAAACGAGAGGAAGAACAGTCGATCAGATTCAAGTGAATCATGGTGATCTTGGCTAACATTGTTCGAGAACTTCTTCAACAAACGCTTGTATGTCTGAATGAAGAATGTTTTGTTGCGTTAAATTTACTGTGATTGAGTTAGTTTTTGAAATCAACGGTCATAATACATAGTAGTAAAACACCATTTATAGTGAAAAGGTGGTGTGTTTGTGAAACGCTTTTTGCGACGTGTTATGATAACATAGTTTCTATCATGAACGATCAAAATAAACCTATGCACATTGTGCTGTATTTCATAGTTTTCATGAATCGCGAACGAGAAATCGAGTAACAGAGTTATGTACCTATTTTAACCACCGAAAAAATCATTAACCAAGCTATTGACTTTTCTGCTCATTGAGTTGATTTCACAGAGATATTCCAAGTATGTTTGTGTTTTTTGTCCCGTTAATTTTATACTTCAAATAAAAAATGACACTAATAAAATTTTGTACAAATACAGTTTCGATTATTGGACAGAACACTACGGACTGGTCGATTTTTGTTTTCATATCAGCAATTGTGAGATAACTGTTTGAGCTGAGTAATAGCAAAAGAACATTTGAAAGCGAACAAAGGAGCATATAACTCAGAATGTAGTGAACGTGGGACAAGCATATCAATGTTTTCTTGAATAGCTTATTAAGCTCTTAGTTACTCAATTATCAATCATATGGTAGGGTATAGAGAGCTAGAACAACGAACGTGATATCGGACCACTTTGTGAACCCCTATGTTTACCTGACAAAAATTATCATTTATTCAGAGAAGTAACTGTAAGATCCCTTGGTATTTATTAAATCTGATTGCTTTCTATGTTTTGGTGAGTCAACAAAATTTTCTGTGCTGGTCTCATAAATGACACACGATTAATATTATTCTTTATTTATCAATACCATATTTAGATTTTTGTTCATTGAAAGGAAATCATCGAACTACTCAAGATACACAATAGTATTCTGAGGACTGATATCTACTTTCAGTGGTCCTAAACAAAATTACATTAATTATCTGAATGTACTTACATGGTACGACGCTTTTAATCCATCATTGTCAGCCAACATTTCTTCTTGAGTATCAGTGCGAAAAGCCTAAATCAGTCGAACAATCAATAGGGCATGTGTTGTGTAAGATTGTGAACCTGAAATCAGAAATGCTCACAATCCTTTTTTTTACACTGAAATGTTATATGGTATCTATCCAACGTGACATTCCATACGGTAGACTTTATTCTCTACGATAAGTGATAATGTCACACAAACGGAAATACTTTCAATTTTTATGAATTAAGTTTTAAGTTAAATGACTGATGATCCTGTAGGCAAGTTTTCATTTTTAAAGTGTTTCATCAGTGGATGTATTAAAGTTTCGTAATCAGTGAATCCACTTAGTGATCATCATTGAATGAATGTGTATTTCATGAAATTCCTGTCAGACGATGACGATGTTAAATTGTCTTCGAAAGTCACTATTGATTAAAAGGAATTTCACTTCCGAACAAAAACATGCTAGTAACTAGTCTGAATTAATTTTCTACTCTTGTTTTTTCAATTTCTGTAGTATTTCGAAAAACAGTTTATTCAAAATAAATCACATAACAATTTACGAAATTATGAGTAAGTTTCGTTAAATATAACGAAACAAAATTCTTAAAAAACAGGTCTTCAGTATACAAGAGTGATATTCGGCTGGACAATCTAGGTTCATTTTGTTATATCCGAGCAAAAATGAAGGGATAGTAACTTTCTGGCGAGCTGTCATGTGATTTTGCAACCTCAAGTGGTGTCCGACAAGGCTGTCCACTATCTTCGTTTTTGTTCAATTTGATCACCTACTGCTAGAAAGAGCGTTCTAGTTGTCTGAATTTTCTGAGATCGGTTTCCTGCCAGGAGGTCCACTTATTGACTTAGAATACTCATATGACATAGTCCTGTTTGGTAAAGACGCCGATAAAATGCAGAGATCTGTTTTAATTCACGGCTTCGAAAAGTGCCCGTTAAGGGTAGGGGATACTCGTAAGTTACTAGTATTTGACCATAGATGTCTTATAAATATTGCCAGCATCTGCTGGGATCAGCTGGTAAGTAATAGTGAGGTTGGACTAGGAGTACTAGGGAATGACGGTAAATCAGTTGATGAAGTTGCGAATCTTCACCGACTGAGATGGTTGGACCACGTTTTACGCATGGATACGGATGAAGAAAGTTGGGGGCCGCCAAAACAAAATGTGGAATAGTCTAATTAGATTATTATGTATATATTACTCTAATCATAAGCTTCCTATTGACCCACTAAACGCTTTTATACGATTTGCTCTTCTTATTCCCAATCTCTTATTCATAGTTTACCCTACTTAGCCATTTTTGGATTGATCACGTATGATTTTTATTTTTTATTTTATGTTGGAATACAGTCTGGCGTAGTCGCATATAAACTACCTCTGTCTGAAATATGTGGATTATCCTTAGCTGGTGATCATTGGTGTTTTGTTCTTCCTCTTCGTTCGGAGTAAGTAGTTATTGAGTGAACTGTCAAGCATAGAGTATGAGTCCTACCCTCGTTGCATATCGGTTCCTTAAGGTCGTCTATGGATTTTGGTCACTGCTAGAACATAACATTCATAGCATCATTTGATTCTTTTATGATGAACTTGACAAGTAGAACACATTAAAATAGTTTTTTGTTAATATACTTTTAACTCCACCTGTAGCTCTTCTAGAGGTACTGCCGGTCCCAAGCCCGGATGAAAGAGGAGAGTTGGGCATGGGTTAACGACCCCATCCTGTAGACGTTAACCACTAAAAAATAATTCAAACCATTTAAACTCTGCCTCAGGAGTTAGGAGGTTTTCATTTAGAAGAGTTATGACGCTTCATGGTGAAAGACGAGTTCCTTTGGAAGTCACGAGGCTGATGCCCCCTTCTTGAAACCAGAGCAACAATTTCTATAGGTACATGGAGCGCCCGGACAATATGTGAGACCGAGAAAACCAGTCAAATAGCAATGGAAATGAGGAGATACAACTTAGCAGTACTGGGAATCAGCGAAACCCATTGGACCAAAGCTGGAGAGAAAAGGCTAGATACGGGAGAGATGCCACTATACTCCAGTCACGACGAGGAAAATGCTCCACACACTCAAGGAGTTACTCTAATGCTGTCCAAAGTAGCACGAAATGCACTTGTAGGATGGGGAACTCACGGATCCAGAGTCATCAAAGCATCATTCAAAACAAAGAAGGAGAGGATCACAATGAATATTATCCAGGGTTATGCACCCACCAATCATAGCAATGACGACATTAAAGATCGATTCTATGAGAGACTGCAATCAATCACAGAGAAATGCCCAAGAAAGGACCTCACCATTCTAATGGGAGATCTAAATGCCAAAGTCGGAATAGACAACATTGGATATGAAGATATTATCGGACGACATAGACTGGGAGAAAGAAACGAAAATGGAGAAAGATTTGCAAATTTGTGTGCATTCAACAAATTGGTCATAGGCGGCACAATACTTCCACACAAGCGTATACACAAAGCTACATGGATCTCACCGGACCACACTACAGAGAACCAGATAGATCATATTTGCATCAATAAAAAGTTTCGAAGGACAATGGAAGATGTGAGAACCAGGAGAGGAGCTGACATAGCTTCAGATCCCCATCTAGTTTTGGTGGACAAACAGCACTACAAAAGTTCAATACAGCCTTCCTTCGAGATACTAAGAAACTCAATAAATTCAAGGTAACTCTCGACAACAAGTTCCAAGTCCTACAGGATCTACTGAAGGAAGAAGAAACTACCATGGGGGAAAACAAGTGCCGACGGGCTGGAAAGAAGGACACCTCATCAAGATTCCAAAGAAAGGAGATCCGAGCAAATGTGAAAATTGCAGAGGCATCATACCGCTGTCAGTACCAGAGAAAGTCTTCAACAGTGTTTTTGAACCGGACGAAAGACGCAGTAGACACCCAACTTCGAGATTAACAAGCTGGATTCCGTAAAGATCGGTCGTGCACAGACCAAATTGCAACACTACGGATCATCGTCGAACAATCAGTTGAGTGGAAATCTTTACTATACACCAAGCTCATTGATTATGAGAAGGCGTTTAACTGTGTAGATAGGAGGACATTATGGAAACGTCTTCGACACTGAGGAGTTCCTGAGAAGATTGTCAACATTGTCACGAACTCATGCGACGGACTACAGTGCAGGCGGGTGCATCGAGGACAGCTGACAGATGCATTCCAAGTAAGGACCGGAGTCAGACAAGGCTGTCTACTCTCTCCCTTCCTCTTCCTTCTGGTAATTGACTGGATTGTGAAGACCTCGACATTTGAGGGAAAACATGGAATACAATGGACAGCTCAGAACCAATTAGACGATTTGGACTTCGCAGATGACCTAGCCCTCGTATCGCATACACACGAACAAATGCAGATAAAGACATCCAGTGTATCAACAATGTCTGCATCAGTAGGCCTCAACATACGCAAAGGGAAACCAAGGTCCTCAAATACAACACAGAGAACACCAATCCAATCACACTTAATAGGGAAACTCTGGAAGATGTGGAATCCTTTACGTACCTGGAAAGAATCATCGATCAACGAGGAATATCAGATGCAGACGTAAAGGCGAGGATTAGCAAAGCGATTCCTACAGCTGAAGAACATATGGAATTCAAAAAAAGCGTCAACCAATGATAAAGTCGGAATCTTCGATACAAACGTCAAGACATTCCTACTGTACGGGGCTGATACTTGGAGGACTACTACAACCATCATCAAGAAGGTACAAGTATTTATAAATATTTGTCTACGCAAGATACTCAATATCCATTGGCCGGACACCATCAACAACAGCCTTCTTTGGGAGAGAACAAACCAGCTTCCAGCTGAGGAGGAAATTAAGGAAAAACGATGGAAATGGACAGGAAATGCATTACGGGAACCACCAAACTGCATCACAAGACAAGTGTTAACTTGAAATCCTGAAGGGAAGTGAAAAAGAGGAACACCAAAGAACACATTACGTCGGGAAATAAAAGTAGATATGAAAAGAGTGAATAACAACTAGAAATAGCTGGAAAGGATTGCCTGGGACAGTATTGGATGGAGAGTGCTGGTGGGTGGCGTAAGCTCCCTAACGAGGAGTAACAGGCTTAAGTGGGTTGATGTACTCTTACTGTTAATTGTATGGTATATGAAATCGGAAAAGAGAGCAATAACTGGTGTCACATCTAATGGAAAGTTCATTTTCCAATATTCTCAAACGTTTTAAGTAAAATACAATTTAAATGAAGTTGGTAACATCACTTGATGATTATGGAAAGTTTTTGTACTTAATAACCTATGACTATAAAAAATTTCAGTAAATATTTATATGTTCATATTTATAATTTAACTAAACTTACTTTTAAATTAGTGTAATTATAGGAAACATACTGATGACTCAGACATACAGCCTTCAAATGTATCAAAGTGGATGACATTAAAGCATCGTACGAAGTCCGTTTATTCCAATTCTCATCATACAGTACACCTTGAGGTACAACGAAACTAATAGGTTATGTTTATTGAAATTGTAATTAATTTTAACATAATTGCTAGTGTGCATGTAGAGTAGAAGAAAGAGAAAGCAGAAATCAGTGCATATTTGTTTGATAACCACCATCAATCGAAATGAAAGAGTAAAATAATGAGATTGTTGGAAACTAATACAACAGACATAAAAGGTGATGGGTGGTGGTTGAAGTGGGATCCACAATACGAATTTCTTTCTATTTGGGACTCGTTAGTTAGACGAACCTACATCCCAGCTCTGCTTAGAATGCTTATGACCTAAGACAATATCAAGCCGATCCTCACAAAATACACGTATGCCAGTAAGAAAACAATACATTGCAGTCCTAAACATCAATGAGACGACTCAAACAATCAGTATTAAAATGAAATTATACAACAGGCGTTTAGCCGTGACTCATCAGCGTACAGCTTACCAGAGTAGAACAAATTATTTCATATGATTCCAAATTATTCCATTGGAACTAAATGGGAGGATCGTTTTCAATGAGTTCTATGGATGAAGTTTCGACTATACACTACATTGCCTAATCACTAATATTGGATCAGTGAAAATTCATATCATCAGGACAACAGCATTCTAATGTTGTATGCGAAAACGAGTCTGATATTCAGTGTATGGTAACAGAGTAATACTCAGTATCAGTTGGTCGGTAATTCATAGGATAAAATGATTTGCGAAGTTTGGAAGATTATAATCATGGAAACTAATAAAAACCAAATTATGAATCACATAATTCATTGATTTCTAATGAACGTGCCACTATCTAAATGTACCTTCAATTGATAGTGAGTGTACTTTCGTGAGACGTGGATCGATGACACAAACGAGCTTTTCAATCAATTATTACAAGCAACCGATATGAGTGTGAACTAAGCTGACATGGATGTGGTCAAGTATTTGATAGTCAAGCTGAAAAGATTTAATATTTCGTTCGAAGTACAACTAGACTAGACTAGACTAGTTGAAGCCAATCTACAAATCGCTGCATGGTATCACAAGCAAGGTGATTTATACATTACTGAACTAAACTGGAACTTCCACCTGTTATTATATTTGAATATTTAGATATTGTGAGGATTGATTAATGGATTCTTTCTATTCATATTATAGTGAATTGTCGTGAGATCGCTCTCCTTTCAGTGATGTGCTGATTTCGAGAATGTATCGATACAGGACACAGGTGGTATTTTGTGATTCTGTAATCGTAAAACGCTTAATACTGACATGTGGAGATTGTACACGATGACAAAATATTATTCGGATATTACGTGATGTTTGTCCACAAGGTTAGTTTTGACAAATGAACAACAAACTGAGATCGTTAAACTCAGGATGTTGACATTTTTTTGATCAGCAGAACAAATGATTCTGATGAATACACCTTACTAATTTGTCAAATAGTAAATTTCTCTATGAATTCATGAGACAATTAAATGATATTTTGGTTTTATGAACAGTATTATACCGAAAGTAATAATTTTATACAAGTTAATTAATATTACTTTTAAGAAACTGAAAATTCAGTATACTGATTGAACAAACCTTGGATACCTATTCCGTGCATAATCTCATGACTTATAATCCAACCAAGTGCTCCAAATTTCGAAGCTAAACTACCATTTTCATAATAAAGTGGAGGTTGTAGAAATCCTGAATATACATATACGCGATTTGTACCCGTTGAATAATAAGCTGTTGCAAGAAATGCCGGTGATCCTATGAGAGATCTGTTCACAAAAAGATAAACGTTTGGTTATTTCACATGTCATACCATTTCATTAAAATTTCCCATGTTTTACATTTCATCAGGTAATCATTTCAAGATTACTACGGTACGAAATGTCTGGTATTTCAGTTTTATCACAAACTAGCATGGATTATATTACATGATACTTAAGGAATCGGTGAATGAAGCGGTTTTATTCATACAAAAATTGGGTAGAAACTGGTATGTCAGTTTACAATATGAGATTATGAAATCTGAATAAAAGTAATTTTTTACAACCGCTTTATTAATATGGATTCTAATATTCAAATTAAATATCCGTGATTTCCTAACTAGCCAGTAAGTAACTAATCAGTTCAACTTCTGTGCTTATAGAACTAGGAGGTTTGTTGTTTGAAAGATTTAGATCATTAGTGATTATTTTACATAGATTATTGTCTGTTATTTGGGTTCACATTAGTAAGTAGTGTCAAATCTCCTAAAGACGAAATATAAAGATGCTATGTGATATAATAGTAGTTGTAATAATAATAGTAATAATGGACAATTAGCGTTTGTCGTTTGGGTTATAAAATGAATGAAATCTTCTTACTTCATTGCCACATTGAATAATGTAATGAAGGCACAGAAAGTTTGCTTAAGGAAAATGATTTGTACATCCTTCTGTTTTCTAAGATTTTAATTAGCATATTCGTTACAAGATTTAGAGGAAAGATGTCCAAATACGAACCAAACACATACTAAATCAGTCCACGAAATCAATTTGATTTCATGGTAATGTGGGTTCTATTCAGTAGAAGGCATCAATCCATAAGTAATTTTGAATAAAGTATATTCAAATCTTTGCAGTTAAATAATAAAATTAACATTTGTGATAACTTGTATTGTTTTTATATCAGAGATATCATGACAACTTACGGGTAATAACTGTGTAACTGAGTTTTCAAAGTGTCAATATATTTCGCTTTACGGATGTAGAATTCATTTGTGTAATAATTGTCCTCTCGAATAGGGTACTAAATATTATTTGTGTGAAAAAACATTGACAGAGATCATTTAAAAGATGTTTAAAGCACGTTCGACACATTCTGTTTCCAGTTTATTGAGTAAGTATTTCTGAATCAAGGGTTTTGGGAAAATGCAGTGTCATTGAAGCAACATTTCGGATTTTCATTGTCAAACTAATCATTGTCACATAAGGTGACTTTCCTCAATTTGTAACGCCGAGTTACCGAAACAATTTGACTAAGGCATAAAATTGCGTGAATAGTCCTCGTGTGATTATAAATTTTCTCGCTTAATGATATACATACAACCTTGTACTATCACGAGATTATACGTGATGATTTTGTACATGCACCCAAGTTGTTGAATTATGGTAGGATCGATGTGTAGTTTTTGAGGACCAGCAGATTGGTCCATAAATTGACCGATATATTTGAACCATTTAGGGTTTAACCTCTGAGTTTCCGAACTGCAGAATAAAGACCAGTGAGTTGAGGTTTCTCTGCCACGTAATGATTGAGGCAAACCAATGTTGTTTGGAAATGTGAAATATGCTTTTCTTACACTAAGTGTTATCAATGATGAGTTCTAGGAATAACGGTGTCTTGTAAGTTTCACATGTCTCTTCGGTGATAACCGGAGTTATTTTGTGAAGAATTAGCTTATTATTATATACAATGATATGCAATATAACGAGTTTTCAATAAAATATTCATTAGTTGTATCAAATGGACATGCAAAATAATTTATTTTTCAATAGTGAAATAAGTGTAGTTAACTTACTTGAAATACTGTTGAGAGATTTTCTTTTTGTTGAGAAGCATTTTGATTGGAGTACAAGGCAAATATACCCATTTTTGAAACCTACAATTTTTCATAACAATCAGTTATCTTACTAAAACTTAAACAAACCCTGTGTTTCTGGAATCTCTTTTCTTCTTCATCAAACCACTTAGTTCTTTGTATTGAGTTAGTGATAGTCAGTTTAATTTCGTTAAACATATTGATCATCTGTAATAGAGTGAAAATTAATCGAATTGAGAAAGTGTATGTCATATTTGAAAATTATTGTTCCACAAGATAATAAACTTGTCACAAATGCATTAACGCTTTTCACCAACTCTAGGAGCAGCCTTTTAAATAATCTTGGTAGCTATTTGTTTAGAAGGAGCTACTTGAGGCTTTTTTCTATTCGGCCTTTTTCACCTCCATTTCTTTTTGCTTTTGTTTGTTTTTCTTTAGCTGTTCGTAAAAGTGGTTGTAACTTCCTTAACTGAAAGAATTCTCCTGTTTGTACCTTTCCGTTCCTCCCATTATTATCCTTTTATTACACAAACATACACTAATCGGTGGTCGTTATTGTTCTTTTTTTCTTATACGCACCTTACTTTCTTATTATTTTCCCTTCCTCATTGTTTTGTGTGGCGTACATATACCTGGTGCCCTCTTGTATCAATATTTATGTGTTCAAATAAAATAAAATAAAAAAGAGAGATAATTTATGAGATCCGAACATGGGCGTATCTTTAGCGTGATCCTAGCAATACAGTTGTAGGTTCATAGTATATTATATCAACTTTCCTACAACCAATTTCGATTATGGTTGATTTTGGTTAAGCTCTTTTATTGACTTTCTTGACAGACAATGTTATTTGAATAGTAACAATTTGCATACCTCACTGTACCGTTATGATCACTAGATCAAATGACAGACTCTAGCTAAAGTGTGAATATCTTAAATGTCACTCGATGATTCATTCTCCTCCCCATGTATGCATGTACTCAAATCCTATTATTAGTCCTTGCTTTGCCTTGGTGTACACTTATTCGATTTAACTATAAATTTGCCTCTGTATTTGCTCGCATAAACATATTCGCTTCTCTGCTTCATATTCGTTTAATATACTTATAGCATTGTGATCTGCGCTATCTGCTAATAAACTGTAATTGCCGCTTCTCACTGCCTTCTGATTTCAAACAACGTTGATATTTATGTAATAACGGTTACGAGAGTGATTGATTAACAAAGCTATGTCACTACAGTATGATGGATTTCGGTTTTTCAAATCGACCATTGATTTCTGTTCATCAAGAATATGTTTTTGATATTTAAATTGTGTACCAATGTATAGTCTAGCGGAGTAGCTTAATAAGATCATTTGGATGGATATTAGAATCTGTGTTTTAAATGGATTTGGTGCGAAACATGGTATACAGGTGATAAAGACATTTTGAATGGTTACGAGCGTTTAACTAACATCATAGATAGTTGCCTACTCTTACTAAATTGTATTAAGCTTAATCTTGGCAATGTAATGTAATGTTTACAATAATGAAGTCTCATCCCATATTGTTCGAATGATTATTGCACATTGTAACTTCTAGATTTCAAAAGAGCACACACCAGTGATCACAATTCGTAGGGATTCTGAAGATTATTTGAAAAACAATCAGCAGATTTTCACCGAAACTGTGTTTTTTTCGAGAAAAGTGGTTTGAGTTGACTGTCTGACCGAAACCAGGTCGACATTGGAACTATGTTGACCATTTGATGCAATTCATGTGGGAACGTATATCCGAAATCGAAAGAATAATTTCACAACTGTTGAGGGACAGTTTTGTAGGTGATGGCGAAAGTATGAAAGTGTTTTGGAAATTCTCATGAATTAACATCAAAGTAACCCTAATTTTCGCATCATAAAGTTTGTCAGTATGAAATGTAACCAAAGACAATTTTATTTAACACAAATACAGTTAGGAAATATTTTGTGCTGAACGCTTATTATGTTAAGATGTTGAATATCATTTTTTGTGAGGTGTACTCTAAATTGTGCTATTCGGAGATATTTGTTTATGTTTATGTAATTTAAGTCAAAAAGTGTAGTATCCTCTTGATTTAAATAATTTTAACCTTCGAATATGAATGGTCGACTGTTGGGTATATAGGGGTTTCTGTCAATATTCCAGTAAATTTACGTTAATTTCGATTATTCTCAAACCATACCACTGAAAAAAATTTACGAGCTATTCAAATTCGACCACAATAATGTCTACAAATATTTCTTTTAATATACTTGATGTTTAGAATGAAAAATAAGACTTTTTCAATAACTAACTGGGTTTCTATCTCTGGAGACACTGATTACTTATACCAAGATGAGTAATCATGGTGTTTCACCATTTGGATAAGTAAAATGATTGAATGTTCATACATTAGCGTTCACATATTAGTAGCAGTAGGACGAACTTCGATTGAACTGGTAATCACCATATTGAGTTCCATTTATCCATTTGTGGACAGTTAAACTCTGTCATGAATTACAAGCCCATCCAAGATAATAAATTAAGAGTAATTTTCTAAATATATCTTATATCAGACTTCATTTACCATCACTCTAATACAACGATGTTTGTTCATTGTAGTGTTTCTACTAGCCCATCATGAAATAAAACACTATGTGTACAACTGTCCATTCTGGTTTTGGTTATGGTAAATAAACTATACCGCAAACCACCACCAATAACTGCATTCTGGTTTACAGACCAGTAAACAAACTATATGTACGCCCGTTTTTCATGATCATTTGTATCATGATGGATGATGATTTCTAGAATAAACGGGAAATTGAGAATTATAATGCAAAGCCGACTGCAACAATGTGATAAATGCTATGATTTTGTACATTTGTCAGTTAGATGCGCATGACAAACATATAATCTATAATGATCTGACGAGAATTGAGCAACAAATTGTCTATCACTCAGGTTAAATTACTCTGAAATAGAATGCTCTTCAACATATCTCGTCTATACTTAATTGGAATAAAGTGTTTACTTTTGTAAGGTCAGTCGTTCAATAAAAGCTGATAGAATTGGTGGTTGGTTTGAGTTTACCAGAACTGTTTCAATAGGATCTATGAAGTTCACAGACTGTATCCAGAAAGATGATATTAAGATCACCAGTTGTGTATGTTACTCAAATTTTGTAAAATAGTA